CCCAATCAGTGCTACAGGACTGCTTTTAGCTTTGATAATGGCACGCATCTGCCCAAGCATCATTTCGATAAGCTTATGCAATATCACAACATTTGTTTCCATCCAGATGCATTGATTTTTCACCAAGATCTTGTAGTGATGATGGGGGAGTCAGACCACTGCGTAAAGTCTTCTCCAGTACATCGCAAAGATACTCAATGGGGTTAAGGCTTGGACTCTGTAGTGGCCAATTCATGTGTCAAATTGAGGTCTCATGCCCCCTGAACCACTCTTTCACAATGTGAGCGCGATGAATCTTGGATGTCATCTTGGAATATGCCTGTACCATAAGGGGAAAAAAAAAATCCATTGATGGAAAAACCTAGTAATTCAGTATATTCAGGTAGGCAGCTGACCATTTGTTGGGCACAATGTTGCTGAAACTAGACCGATTATCCAATAGAAGGCTCTGACCTATTTGCTTCGCTAAATCCAGGTAGTGGTTTTTTTTTTTTGGACAGGCACGGTATAAACAAATAGCCTTTTGTTATACCTCTTATAATAAACCGCAAAAACAATACCCCCTAAGCCTCCCAGAAACTCATTGTTGTCCTATGTCTTTTCCACTCTGCAATGCTGTCTCAAACAAAGTTATCAGGGAGCCTGCTAAGACTACAAAACAACTCTGTCCTATGTTATGGAGATTAGAGGGGAAGGCATTCTGTAGTCCTAACACTTCTTGTCCTGGGGTGACAATACTGCTTCTCCAAGGATACAGTACAGTGAATAAGCGTTGTTATCCTAGGACAGGAATTGTGTTACTTGTAGATTACCACATGTCTGGAGACACAGATTATACATCAGTCATACCCAAGCAGAGCCAGACAGCCATTCATTTACTGTCCGGAAAAGCCAAAACAAAAATCATAAGGGTACAAGCTGCCCAGAAATTAAAGATTCACATCAATAGGTTCCAGCAAAGGACCTCCAACCAACTACCCTCTAATTGGCAGTAGAACGCCAATCTCCCAAGAGCAATCAGTGATCATGCACAACATTTCTGGGGTTCGTCAGTAGTACAAAACACCTCCAGTGTTGGAATGGTAACAAAACAAAAAAAAGAAAGAAATAAACCACACATTTGAATTATTTGGCAGATCAGGTGGCTGCAGACTGAAATAGAAGGGTACATTTTAAACATACAATTAAAAGATCAATGGGAAAAATAAAATTGACAAACAAAAACAAACGTATAAAAGAATACTTACCTCTCCAGCAAGCAGACTCCAATCTCTCTTTTAGGACATTGACAAAGCCAGCACACACAGGTTCCATCCACCAGTCTCTGCCACTACTGTGTCTTGTAGTGATGTAGGGGCTCTCCAGCAGGCGCTAACTCCAATCTTCACTCTTGCAGAGCTATGGGCCGACACATCTACGGTCGATGTATTCAGTTTGCAGTTTAGAAAAAACACAAACAGAACACACAGGACAGAGCCTCATTCGGGGCTGTAAACGGTAGCATTATTTACACTGCACACAGGTAAAACATTACAGCGTTAATGCAGCCTATTGGCCACTGCCAGCCAACATGTCAGTATCAACACTGTGTAGCCAGCAGAGCAATCGGTGCTGATTACACACTATTTATGTTTACATGTCAACCCTAAATGTGCCATTCATGCTCAGAATAACTTCAGCCAATCATTCATGAATGACCGAATAATGCTAATTCTGCATGTGGACAAAAAATAAATAAATGCAGAAAAAAAACTGCAATTACAGATCCCTAACCCAACAGCTGATCTAAATGAAGATAAGAAATCCTTCTGAAGCATCGTCATATTTGCTCCAACAGGAAAACAATTTCTTTCTGATCCCCTAAAGCACTCAGATACTCTCCTCCTTAATAAAGAATAGCCATCACATCCTTAGATTTACACAGCCCTTCCAGATACAAAGCCAGCATAATGACCTGACTTATCCCTGCTGAATTTAAAAACAGCGAGAATTGATTTTACAGTGAAGGAGCAGCAGCAGACTGATTAGCACATACCTCTGCTCTCTTCTTGGGTCCTTGCTAGTATATTTGCATACAGCATACCTTAATGGCTCCTAGTGATATGCTGCCCTCATCCACAGTGTGAACAAGGAATACAAATCACTTGGCAGGTCAAATGGCTTCTTATAGATGGGCAAAGGGAATACAAATAAGGGGGCTGGAGGACCTTGACTATGAGGAACAATTACATAAATTACACTTAGATAAGGCATTTAAAGTGACATTAAAGCTAGAATTCCCCCCGCCCCCTCCAATCCTGCTTCAAGGACTTACTTTATGCGATTGCTCTTGATCCGAACAGCTTCTTCCTTCCAATCGTTTTCCAAAGTCCTTCCAGCGCTGGTCTCTGGTCCCAACGGAGTCTGTTGTGCATGTGCGCTCCCGGGTGTGTCCATTCAGTGTTGCTCTCCTCCTCTCCCCTTCAACGATCTGTACTGCGCATGCGTCCGCCCACACCTTCTCCTTCACAGCCTTCGGGAGCCGGGACTTCTGCAGCGTGAGTGAGCGGCACTGACAGGGATGTATGTTGGTATTTGCATCCTTTTTTTTGTTTAATGTTGGGGCATATATCTACTGCTTACTAGCAGTAGATATATGCCAAGAAAAAACCCCAACATGCTTTAATTCCTCTTTAACAGGAGACATGATCGCCATCTGTAAATTATTCAAGGATGACTGTAGTGATGGAAACAATTGTTCAACAGCTAGTCCAACTATTTAAAATAAATGTACACAAGAAAAATGTGAATTTTGTTTGCATTGGAGCCAGTAAAGCATTGAAGCCACAATTGGTGGATTGGAGGTGCAATGCTCTGACTCCTGCTGACTTCCTCCAGCCCCTGTATGTACAGACATTCAGTAACATGGACAGGAGGCAGAAGGAATGGACTACAAATGCCATGGAGAACTACAGCTACAGTCCCTCTGCCAGTTACCAAAGGGACTTGTAGTTTCTCCATTCACAGATCCTGTGAAGGGATCTGTAAACAGATGATGCAGCTGTGTGGGTGGAGCCACACACCATTGTCAAATAACCTTAGAAGCCTGTAGGTTGAAGGAAAGGAGGTTTACTAAGAAATTGCAAAAGGGGATTCTTGATGTTTAGAGCAAGAACTCCCTTCCCCAGATAGTTGCAGAAGCTCAGAGTACTGACAAGTTCAAAACTTCATGCAAGGTGCTCTTGATAAGCACAATATACAGGGGTACGACTATTCTAAGATGCAAACTGACACATTCCCAGAGGTTGGACCCTTGTCTTTTTTCCAGCCTTATCTACCATCTAAGAATGTATTTGGCTGTTCTTCTGGAGGTAAAACCCATTTCCAGGCTACCCACACACTGCAAAGGTTAACTGATCGTTAACACCAAGGGTACATGTATGAAGTCTTTTTTTACCTGATCCCTGCTGCCCAGACAGATGCCACTCTTCCCTCCGGCTTGTGGACTGTCCACCAGAGTGCTCACATATAATGCAGCACTATGGGTTCCGCATTGTACTTGATGACAGCAGGCTTCCAGCTGCCATCACGGATGGGGGGGGGGGGGGGGGGGGAGGCTGTGGGTGCCAGTCTTGTAGCCTGCAGGAGCAGGTAAGTAAATGCCTGTAATCTCTCCCCTTACATGCGTTAGTGTATTTTCACCCCTTGTGTGTGCGCATTTTCTCCCTGTAAGTTGTGCATATCCATTCCAAGCCCTAAACAAGTTATTCTAGAAATGTATCAATATAACCCTTCCCGGGTGACAAATATTAGCATCAAGGATAGCAGGAAAAAAAAAATCTGCAGCATACACTAACAGGTTAGTTTCTAGTGATAACCAATACTGCAATGCCATTGGATTCAGTTGATCACTGATACCTGCACTCCCAATCTCCCTTCATCAAGACTCATAATGTCAACATGACCGTTCCTGCTGTCATAAATAGACATCACCTGTCAGGCAAGGATGCCAACATCTTTGGGGCATCTCACAAACCTCCAAAAAGAGCCCAAAAAGTGACGCCTGTGCCCACTGCACATCTACAGTGATCCTTGTAAATGAACCCGACCAGCAAACAGCCAAGCCTAGAACATCCATCAAGCATCATCGTTATCTAGGGCTGTCTGGGACCTGTGTTGTACAAATCGCCTGCCTCGATCGCCCAGGATAATCGGTGTGGCCGCACAAGTGTGGAGTCATGCCTAGGATGGCACATTGATCACAAGCCAAGGCCGGCACATCTGGCCGCTCGGGCATTTTGCGCAGGTAGACACACCCGGCGTACATCACAGACACCTTCCCTGTAAGCAGGACGTGCTGCCGTGATCGGGCAACATCGGATCCATCCAGATGCAGCGAACGCTCCCAGATAAAAAAGGTACCAACATCCGCTCTTAAATCCTCCGCTTGACCCGGGTTACATTGATACAGACTGGGAACTCATCGCCCCTGCGGCATGCCGTGTTTCAGGAAACACAAAAGCGCTCCTGCTGCCATTATCCTCTGTGCACAGGTAGAGCGCTGCCCTCCAACATGCCCCTCTTCTCCCTGTGATGTACACAATGCCATACCTGCCCCGTACCTCCACCCTGTGGGGTCGCTCCCCCACTCCCTCCTCCTACTCGTGTCTCCGCCTCACCCGCCTGGGATGCAGACAAAGCGCCTGACGCCACTGCGTAGAGCACGAGGAAGAAGGAACTCCGGGCCCGGTTGGTATGTGGCTGCCAACGACAAGTCCGTGGGTGCGATCCTCGCGGCCCCCTCGTAGTGCTAAGACTATCTCCGTCTCCCCAGGCGATGCAGAGCAGGAATCCCACCTCTCCCGCCGGCCGCGCCACACGACGAGGCAGGACCGACCTTCTCCCGGAGCCTTTCAAGGCAACTCCAGCCGCTATTGGCTGAACTTCCTGCCGCTCAGTCCGGTCACTGCCCACTACGGCCCGTCCGCGCTTTCCTGCTCGCTCAATGGCCCTGCGAACTGTCAATCGTGATTCCTGGTCCCGCCCAAATATTGCGAGAGGGTTATTGTCTGAGTTTGCGATTGGTTCGGAGAGACGTCACTCGCTAGGGCGTGTTCCTCCACCCGAGTAAGTGAAACGGGCGGAAAATGATTGGCAATACGATCAGTCTATAGCTGAGCAAGTGTTACTGCCGGGTTCTGCCCACACTGGGTCGGCTACGCAATGATGATGTCACTTCCGCAACGGTGCAGCTGCCTTGATTATTTCCTGCGGGTTGAGAAAAGGAGGAAGTGTTGTAATTATGGCTCGTGAAGACCATAACAATATGGTCAACGTTAGATTGTATCCGCTGGAACAGTTATGGGGTTGATTTCCAATAAACCTGCTTAGATACAGAAATAATTAGGGCAACCTGGTATGCAAGGAATTAGGGATAGCCATTGCAGATCTTAGCTGAATAGATAGTTACTGGCTGACAATCGTCTAGATGACGTACCGTTTTTACTTCTGTTTTGCAGCAGACTGCCTTGTCTTAGGAATGGATACACGGTGTCTGTGTATAGGTTTGTATAGGCTTGTAACCTGAGCCAGCACTACAGGAAGAGGCCCTGAGCTGAAAAGGGAAGTTCTACCCAAGCATGAGGAGACATGAGGATTTAAAAGGAAGAGCAGCAAAGAGAAGGGAAACAACCATGGATTACAGTAAGGCACACATTACAGTATTGGTTTATGTTAAAAAATCTGAGGGTTTAATGTCACTTTAACTGCTCATTCATGTCTAGGGGTATTGTGAAGAGTACTTTTACTTCTGATCCCCACTTCTCCAGTGGTTGGTGCTTTCATCTCCCCTACGCTCAGACTGTCCTTCATCCTCCCATTTAGGCCTCATTCACACTGCTGCGCGTATAGTACCATATGCAAATAAATGGCTCCATACACATAGCTGCGTATGGAGCCGTATATTTGCATAGCGTAAAAATGCGCAAAAAAAATGGAACCGAGATGCGTCCGGGCAGCGCATTTACGTATGTACGCACATGCAGTTCATTAACATTTCTATTATGAATGATGCATTTTGGGATTGCAAATAGTGCACGCATATACGCGCATGTACGCGTATATACGCAACATACAATTTTGCTCTTGCGTTGTGTGTGAATGAGGCCTTAAAGTGGACCTTTACCCCCTTTTACTAAAAATCACATCAGCAATGCAGCTCTGCATGCCGATATGTAATCATCTTACATTCCTTAGTTTAACAAACTTGATTTTCATTTACTTACAAATAGAGTTCATCTACTTCCTGGTCTAGTTCTGGCACAAATGAGTGCTTTTCACTCACCTCATAGTTTTAGCCGACCTGTGACAATGAAACTGTCACAGGTCGGCTCAGTAGATCGGGAGGTGAGCGAACACATACCGGCGATCTCTCGTTCACTTCTTGATCTATCCGTGCAGAGAGCCGTGACAAGGGAGGGACTGGATTCGATCCTCCAGCGCTGACTGGCGAAACGGGCGGGTACAGCTGGCTCTGCCTCTGGTTAGGCAGAGCCAGCTGTCACGCAACCGGGTGGATCCAGACATAATTGTCGGGATCCATTCCGGCGTCTCAGTATACCGCGAGCTGCAGCTGCAGTATACTCGCGTTATACTGAGCTTTGGGTCACGGGAGGACGCTAGTTTGTGTCCTCCCGTTACCCTTAGGAGAACTATGGGGAAAAGCCCTAACCCCATAGTTCTCCTTTAATAAAACTTTGAACAATATGTGAACATGTGATTAACAAAATTTGAAGAGTAACAAAATTATTGTTACATTCTAACTCGACCCCAGATGCAACAAAATGTGAAAACAGTAATGGATACACTTCCCATGTAATGCCCAATTCAATTAATAGTGTATATGGTGATGATTACAGCGCAATAAAACTTCATCAATTTGGTCCCCTCCTTGTGCAAAACGACCCCCAGGGGTATGTACTCACCAGATGGGGTGATTACATACAGCGCTCTGGAAGAAAGTAATCTCATAGAGACACGATCTCCTGTGTGCTGCCTATCAGCTCTCCCAGTCATTCCTCAAAATGTTTAATTTTCAATTAAACATTATATTAAAAAAAACTAGAGGTGCACCGAAATGGAAATTTTTTTGGATCCCCTGTTATGAATGAACAGGAACACTCAGTATAGAGGATTCCTGTTCATTTATAACTTGAGGACATTGTGTGTTTCCTATAACCACAACTATGAATGAACCGGAGGTGATGTAGATCACTTCCCATTCATTCATAACTGAGGATATAGTAACCATACCATGTCCTCAATTATCTACAAACACTCAGCAAACAATGATCGCTGAGTGTTTGTACTGCTCTCCTCTCTGACACGCTGTCACAGGAGGCTGGGCGAGCGGTACGGGGAGGAGAGTTCAGCCTCCTGTGACAGCATGGGCCGTATCCGCCCACACACCGATCTGCCGGACTGTCATAGGGGGCTGAGTGGTGTGGGAGGAGAGACGCCGGTTACTCACAGCGCTTGCCCGGCTGTCACAGTTTCTCTCCTACCTGCTGGGACACAGAGCAGCGCCCAGCGGGGAGGAAAGAAACCAGGGATGCGCCGATGTATTGGCAGGAAAATGGCACTTTCGGCATTTAGCCAAAAGTGCCATTTTTGGCCGATATGTTTTGGCGGGCCGATATATAGGTGCAACCCTAAAAAATCCACATGGCCCTGTGTGAAAAAGTGTTTGCCCCCTAAACCTAATAACTGGTTGGGCCACCTTTAGCAGCAAGAATTGCAATCAAGCGTTTGCGATAAATTGCAATGAGTCTTTTACCGCACTGTGCAGGAATTTTGGTCCACTCATCTTTGCAGAATTGTTGTAATTCAGCCACATTGGAAGGTTTTCGAGCATGAACCGCCTTTTTATAGTCATGCCACAGCATCTCAATAGGATTCAGGTCAGGACTTTGACTAGGCCACTCCAAAGTCTTCATTTTGTTTTTCTTCAGCCATTCAGAGGTGGACTTGCTGGTGTGTTTTGGATTATTGTCCTGCTGCAGAACCCAAGCTCGCTTCAGCTTGAGGTCACAAACAGATGGGCACACAGTATCCTTCAGGATTTTTTGGTAGACAGCAGAATTCATGGTTCCATTTATCACAGCAAGTCTTCCAGGTCCTGAAGCAGCAAAACAGCCCCAGACCATCACACTACCACCACCATATTTTACTGTTGGTATGATGTTCTTTTTTTGAAATGCGGTGTTACTCTTACGCCAGATGTGATGGGACACACACCTTCCAAAAAGTTCAACTTTTCTCTCGTCAGTCCACAGAGTATTTTCCCAAAAGTCTTGGGGATCATCAAGATGTTTTCTGGCATAACGGAGACAAGCTTTTATGTTGTTTTTGCTCAGCAGCCGTTTTCGTCTTGGAACTCTACCATGCAGCCCATTTTTGCCCAGTCTCTTTCTTATGGTGGAGTCATGAACACTGACCTGAACTGAGGCAGGTGAGGCCTGCAGTTCTTTGGATGTTGTTGTGGGGTCTTTTGTGACCTCTTCGATGAGTCGTCGTTGCGCTCTTGGTAATTTTGGTTGGCCGCCCAGTCCTGGGAAGGTTCACCACTGTTCCATGTTTTCCCCATTTGTGGATAATGGCTCTCACTGTGGTTCGCTGGAGTCCCAAAGCTTTAGAAATGGCTTTATAACCTTTTCCAGACTGATAGATCTCAATTACTTTCTTCCTCATTTGTTCCTGGATTTCTTTGGATCTCGGCATGATGTGTAGCTTTTAGGATCTTTTGGTCTACTTCACTTTGTCAGTCAAGTCTTATTTAAGTGATTTCTTGATTGCCAACAGGTGTGGCAGTAATCAGGCCTGGGTGTGGCTAGAGAAATTGAACTCAGGTGTGATAAACCAGAGTTAAGTTATGTTTTAACAGGGGGGCACACACTTTTTCACACAGGGCCATGTGGGTTTGGATTTTGTTTTCCCTTAATAATAAAAAACCTTCCTTTAAAAACTGCATGTTGTGTTTACTTGTGTTATCTTTGACTAATATTTAAATTTGTTTGATGATCTGAAAAATTAAAGTGTGACAAACGTACAAAACAATGACAAATCGGGAAGGGGGCCAACACTTTTTCACACAACTGTATATCTCAGTGGTTCTCAACCTGTGTAACCTCAGTACCCACATTTGTCCTTGATCATTAAGTCGCGACCCAAGTTGCACCACACTGGAATGCACGGCATTGAGGTACCGTGCATTGAGGTGCGGGCAATCGAACTGTGGGCAGGAGGTGTATTTGAAGGGCATTCCCTGTAGAGGTGCCAAGAACCAGAATGTGACATCACTCCGGTCCTGACACTTGGCGCTGGGCAGTATATTGAGAATGGCGGCAGTGCTGTGCTGGGAGGAGACCAAGGAGCCTCTCACCTAGCGCAGTGGAAGGCACATCGAGACCCACTGAACACGGAGTTTACGACCCACTTTTGGGTCATGACTCACCAGTTGAGAACAATATATATAGATATATATATTTTAAAAAACCATCACGCCAATAATCACCTACAAGAACCATAAGGTATTTAGCAATTGATAAATGAACCAAACACTGGTACACCAATTCATCAAACTTATGTACCGAACATGATTGCATATATGTCCCGGTGTTCCATATAAATCATTGAAAATTGACTTGTGTTAATTATGTTTCTTCTAAAACAGATGTAGTTCAATGCATCTCATAATTGCACTCCGAAGCATGATTCTCTCATGTAATTATGGTTATTGATACTTGGATAAATACTCTATATCTGTGGAAACTAGGGATGCACCGACACCGGTATTTTGGTACCGATAATTTTTTTCCGGTACTCGCCGATACCAATTACCGAGTAACGGAAGTCCCATTCAGGAAGCCAGGTGGCGTGTAATGACTCGCCACCTGGCTTCCTGATTAGCCAGGAAGCCGGGCAGCGTGTAAAGAGTCGCCACCCGGCTTCCCGATTAACAAAAAAGTCCCCTCTTACTTTAGTATGTGCAGCCTGTCATCCCCCGGGGCCTTTCCAGCGAGAATGCGGCCTTCGTCCGGTACCCAGCCGGAGCCATCTAGCCGGCCCATCAGGAATCTGGGCCCTGTTTAATGACGCGACGCCCTGCTTTCTGATTGGCCAGGAGGCCGGCTCCATGCTCTCTTGTCATGAGATGACGAGGGAGCATGAAGCCAGCTTCCCGGCCAATCAGAAAGCAGGGCGTCGCGTCATTAAACAGGGCCCAGATTCCTGATGGGCCGGCTAGATGGCTC